TATTTCCTCACATTGGCTATTGATGCAACAGTACCAATAGCCAATATGAAGCAGCTAATCAGACAGAGACGATCGGCAGCTTCGAAACACGGCTCACAAGATGCGAGTGAAGGAAAAAGCAGCGCGTACCTTGAAAAATAGCGGGTAAAAGGCAGCGTGACCGACACCAGAATGAACGCCGAGCTTCTCGGGAAGGCTTCCTCGGAGACTGATCAAGCCAGAAATATGTTGCAAAAGTAACAAAACCTGAAACATGAAAGAAAGAGCCAGCCCTAGCCAACGGCCAATCGGGCCACAATCGCAGGCTTAGCCACCAGCAGTGCGCACGAGTCCTCTCGCATTCCTCAACAGCAAAATTTTCAAAAAATTATTTCTGGTGCAGGGCTCACTTCTTCACAACGATTCTCAGCGCATCAGCAGAACTGCGTGTTTTAATGCGAAACGAGAGCGAGCGAGGCATGGAAGGCCCAGTGAGCAGCATCACATCGCAGGCATGCCTGAAGCAGCAAATTTAAACTCACCGAAGCATAGCACAGAATGAACGGAGCTGTTGCGAGCCGATGCCTTCGTTCGCCGATCAACGAGAACAGAAGCCAGGAGGAGAGGAGCCAAAGCAAACTCAGCCAGCACGGGAAGAGAAGCGCCCAAAAAATCACAGAGAGCGGCGTGAGCAGATACACTTGTCGGCAGCAGCAACCAGCCGAGCTCGCCTCCCTCTCGGCACTGTATCGCGACGGCGACGGCGACGCCCTGCAGATGAAAACATCGACCAAACAGTGCGTGCAATGGGCAGCGGGGGGGGGGGCGAAAATCGAGACGTACCTTCTGGCCCAGGCCAACAGGCTCGCCAAGCAGAGTTCGGCGAGCACGCCGACGTGCACATTCCACGATGGCCTCACGCACCCTCCACGCTCCGCCCTCGATGCGCAGAACAACGGGACCAGACCAAGCGCCCTGAAAATGACCAGACCTCAGCGCGGCTGCGGCTGCTGCTGAACGGGTGGGCTCGATGCAAAGCGAATGTTGCAACAAAAAAAGAGAAAAATGCCAACCTTCTGGTGGTGTCGTTGAGCACCGACTGCACGTAGGCGAGCTGGGCGAGCAGCAGCAGCGCCAGGTGGAGCACGAGGATGGCCAGCGCCGCGCCCAGCAGCACTCCGCTCCAGGCTCGCGGCCAGCGCCGGAACGCGAACGCGGCACTGAGCCAGAGCGAGGCGAGCAGCAGCGCCACGTGGAAATAGCTCGGCTGCGATATCGCGGTGAACGTGAGCAGCGCCAGCCCGCTCACCGTGCGCACCGCGCCCATTGCCCTTCGCACTGAAAATGCACCACCGAGAGCGTCACGCACTTCACTGACACAAAAAAGCCCGGCATGACCGCGTACAGCTGCGCCCCCCTCCCCGCACAGCCGTCCCCCAAACGAATTTGCTTTGCAGCGCTAAGCCAGCAGCAGCTTTTAATGCCCCGGCCACCTCTCTCCTTTCATGCACCTGATCTTTACGCCTGTTTGTTATTGCAGTTATTTCCGGGTACTGTGAGTGCGGGGAGCGGGCATCGGAGCGGTTCAGCAGTGGGAGCAGACGTCTGCCCGGCGCAGCACAGTGGAAAAGCCGCCCGCAGGAAATCAATTGGAGCTGGTGCAGTCTCTCCATGCCAACTTGGGCCGACGTTCTACGAGATGCACCAGCAGCGTGTCATCTGGCAGGCCTTGGCTTCCGTCGCGAATAATAGCTGCAGCACAAGCGCTTGGCTGCAGCAGCAGCAGCTCGCTGTTGGCCGTTTGGTCGGCTCTCGTGGCTGGCCATCGTGGCATTCAGCTAGCGGATGGATATCTGGGCGACCGCTGCTCGTGCTCGGTGGTCCGGCGAGCGCAGAGTGCTGCATGCGCGATACAGCTGCAGCAAAGCACTTGGCCTTCTGGTCCGTGGTGTGCTCGGCGTTGGGCAGGGCAGGGTGGTCGGCCTGTGAGAAGACTGCAGGTTTTTAGTAGCTGAATGCTCGTGGCACGTGCCCGGAACTGGCTAATTCATGGGAATTAAAAGAAACCCAGGCTGGAACGCACCAGGTTCTCCGGTGCGATCATGCGTTTTTGCACTAAACTCGCAGATCGCTATTAGGAGGAATGACCCCTACGCTGTAGCCTAACACTTGGGCTAATATTGGCCGCGCTTTGGTCCTTTCTGGCATGCAGAAGGAACAGCATCAGTTGAGATGAAGGCGGTGCATTATAGAGCCGCATGGACATCCAGGTGTATGATTACCGGTTTTTTGCATGAAGTCCGGTCGTTTTTTCGGGAAATGCCTCGCTTTGTGAAAAAATGACAAATGTAAATTTTTTGAAAAAATGCAAATTTCCAGTTCACTAAAAAGCGGAAGTATTCCTCAAGCGGTCGTTTGTCAAAAAATGCGCGTTCATTTACATATACGATTGCGGTTAAGGTCTGAGCTGCGAATATATTTCTAAAATATGCAAATTTTCAATGCATTGAAAAATTGAAAGTATTGCTCGAACGGTCGTTTTTAAAAAAAATCCATGTTCATTTGCATATACAATTGCGGTTCATGTCCGAGTTGCTAAAAATGCGCGTTAATTTGCGTATACAACTGCGGTTCAAGTCCGAGTTGCTAACGATTTTTGGGTTCAGGAGCTACTTGAGGT